TTCCCAAAATCCAAAACGATACCTTGTGCTGGGTGATAATACGGAATACTGACTATTTGTATATTTATCTTTCGGATAATAATACATTTGAAGATTTGAAAGACCCCCACCTCGTATGGCAGCCCTGCCATCAGTGTATGAATGTGTGTGTTGACTGGTTTATTGTTGGCGTGTAGTGTAAATGTACTTTGAGTGGCTTTAAATGTGATGTACAAAACAGATTTTACTTTACAATAGATGTTTTTTCTTCATTTGTATTCTGGTTTTGTTTTTGTATGTAGGTAATCAACGTCAGATTGTAGACCACTTTATATTTAAAATCTCTGACTTAAATAGCAGCAAAGAGTTGTCTTGAACCAGGCAACACTTGCTCAGTTGTGTTAACGGTCTCATTACACCTTAACCATAACACCTGTCATCTTAGTGTGTCTGTTTGTTTGCTTATTTAACCTCTTTGACGTTTGTGTATATGTGTGTTGGTCTACATTCATATCTGCAGGACATGTCTGTGCTCGGTGATGCAGCTATAATGTCCATCAGAGCACGCATGGCATCCTGCACATTTCAAAGTACTTGTTCACACACGTACACACACACACACACACACACACACACACACACACACACACACACACACACACACACACACACACACACACACACACACACACACACAGGCAAACAGGCAAACTACTGATTGGTGATCCAACACAAGTGCCATTAGAACTAGTACAGTAGGACATTCACACTGTGGCATTTACAGAGAATGCGAGCTAAAGGTTAGCGCTTGTGACCTCGATACCCAGACACACTGGGGAGGTCTTGGAAAGAGAAATGAGCCAGCAACACCCTCCACTGCATCAGTGAATACCCCAGAGGTCCCCTGAGCAAGGCACTTAACCCACAGCTGCTCTGCTCAGAGGACTGATTGTATTGAGAGGGCCCCGAATCTGAGTGCTCATAGCTGAATGTCAAAGAGCTTCATAGTGATGTGAAAGAGCTTCATAGTGATGTGAAAGAGCTTCATAGTGATGTGAAAGAGCGTCAATAGCTTAAATCATATTAATAGCCACAAGTGATATCAGAAGAAAGCAAATATCAGTTCCTGCCAGAATCTTGGCATGGCATTAAGATGGCTAAAATAAAGGAAATATTTCTATGACTCTTTGATGGATTGTTGAAAACATTTTTGTTAGATGCTTATGATTCCCAGAGGATGAAGCCTTATGGAATTTTAGCGATTCCCTGATTTGTCTTTTTGTTGCAACCAATCGGTCATTTTTATTTATAAAAACCAAATGAATGTGCGTGTTTGTGTGTGTGTCCTGCTGTGCGACAGACTGGACTCAGCTCTGCTAAGTCATAAATCCCTAGATCGTCTGCGATGACAAGTGGAGCGAGCTCTCCATAGAAAACGGTGAAATAGCATTTTTCCATCACAACTTCATTTCAAATCTGATTCATTCTGTTGAAGATAATTGAACAGTAATCAGCATTAATAAGGTTGAAGATATACATGTCAACTACCTGACTACTTTTATTGAATACATCCCTGAATCTGCTTTTTTTCCCCCAACCACTCATCCTGTTAACAATTTCCTCCATTTTTTTTGTGTCAGCTAGATGACAAGGGAACCACAGTTACCTGACAGCTGTTGCCATGGTGATCAGGTCTGGGAAATGTTTTCCTTCTGTTCTTTCACTCGCCCATGCCTCTCTGCTTTTTCGCTCCAACCTTAAAATACACCCTTTGTTGTTTAACCCTTTATGTAAAGATGTACTGAGCATTTTTGGCGTTTTTTTTTTTTCTCCACAGCACCTGCTTGGACTCTGCTGCACACAGCAAGCCAACCAGAACAGCCACCTGAGGAAGGAGAAGAAGACTCACAAAACTTGAAAGGTGAATGATTGCATGCAGTACACTAAACAATACACTTCATCAGGAAGAATACACACTTTTCAAAGACTAATTTGAAGTAGTGAACTTAATACTTCTTGGTCTAGTGGCTCTGAATATGTTTGAACAAGTATGGTTGCATTATGGATCCCACCTGCCATTTACCTTCCTTAAGTTTAGAAATGCAGTATTATGGTTACAAAACAGAAAGACAGCGCTACCGTCATGGGAGTCATTTACAATTCCTAGCAAATATGCATGTAATCATCATGTAAATAAAGTTTTACAGCCACTCACCCAACGGTATAGGTATATGTGTATATGTAGACACCAAACAATGGAATTCCTTCAGAAATGTCCACATTTTTTATACCAAATCACAGCATTCATATTTCTATGATCTCCCTCAAAGACTTGGTGCCCTAATGTTGCAGCTTTGAGGTACTTTTGACCTTCTAGCAGTTGTAAGCTAGTCAAAAAGGGTTACATTCGGCTTCAAATTTGTGTTACAAATGTTATCAACCCAAACTTGGTGCAAACACTACAGCATTGGATTAGCTATTATTAAGTACATCATAATGTTCTTAGGCCCTATACACTTGAAACCTTTAATATGTTAATAAGGGCCTATCATAAAAATAATGTTTATAACAGATTCCTGACTTGAAAAGCCTTCAGGTTCTCAGCTTTCAAATGAGGAATACCCCTTTTTGCACACTCTAAAATGTGCCTGAAACAAAGTACTTCTTCGTCAACTAGTTGTTACGCATCATTTTGTCACCAGTGATTTTGACAGTGACAATCTTTTAGCAGCTATCGAATAGACAGAAGTTAACATGCTGCAGAGGGAACAAAGCATAGTTGTTATTATTATTGTTTTTAAGAGTCTTTGTCTAATACTATATTGTGATCATTACGGTGGGCGACACGCTACAAAGGCCCAAACACGTCCATTTAGAATAATGCGCTTGCTTTCACAAACGATTGAAATATACAAACACAAAAGTGGCAAATACATTTAAATTAAGAAACATCTCCACCACCTTCTGAATGTTTTTGGGCAGTTGTAGCGCGTTTGCACGTATTAGCCACCGTTATTAATATATGCTTACACATATATGATGCATCTTTGACGTGCTTCCTGGTTGGCTGTATTTTATGCAAACACACAATGGTCCATGTGGCTGCTGCATTACACTGTAACATTTTGAAGCAGGATGAGTATCGACGCACATTTTTCCAGTTCAGTTTTACAATTTGCTAAAAACAATTGATGGTTTATGCTGTAGGGATGACAAAGCAGTGCAGAAACCAGGCCACACTCCAATTATGAGAGAGGGGAGTATTGATCCCATCTGAACACGGTGGCTGCCTCAAAGCAGAGTCATGCACTCATACAGATGAGCCCGCACGCAGTCTCCCAGGTGTTCACAGACAAACATTTGCAAAGCAACACACACACACACACACACACACACACACACACACACACACACACACACACACACACACACACACACACACACACACACACACACACACACACACACACACACACACGTCAACCAGACATTGACACACTTAATCACTGTCTCGTTTGAATGACCTCAGGCGGTATGGGTGTATGCAAGTGTGTGTGCATACACCCATAGCTGCACAATATTCATAGCTACAAGCTCATTTGGAAGGCTCTAAAAACAGCAGTATAATTGTCTAATCTTCCACAGCAGGTGGTTTATACAGAAACAAAAGCATGTGAAGCTGCAGCTTTGCTCTGACCAACTATAATCATTGCAATGTTTCCATGGGATTTCTGTTTTCAGTTTGTGTACCTTGGCTAGGGTTTTCATTCCCCATGTTAGCACTGTGTGAGCCATCTGTATTCCAGAGTAAAGCCAGTGAAAGAAGGGGCTTACTGTAGGTCTTATTTTCTGTCAGTTCATTATCTTCTTTTGTGTCCACTGTTATCTGTTTTCACATCCTTTTCTTTGTTTTATCTTAGATAATTGTTCTGTTCTGTAATCTGTTCTTTAGCCTACTTGTCTCTCTTTTTAAATCTTTAATTGTCAGCATTATCTTAAAAAAACTCCCTTGTTTTTCTCACATCTGTTTGACAAACATTTCCATTCTAAAGCAGGCTGTCTCCTGTCGCTGGGGAGTAGTTTGGATGTGCCAGTCTTTTCCCCTGATGCCATTGGATGATGCAGATGTGCACTTTGTATGTGTATTCTTCACAGAAACAGAAATGCTGCAGTATGAACAGCTGCTGCCAACTAAATGACAATGCCAGGAGGAAGATGATTCATTCATCTGATCGAAGAGTTTCGATCTTCCAAATTCTTAAGTGATAGAAATACTTACGACACCCTCAATTGATATAAGACACCGCATAGGCTTAGACAAATTCACTTTTACATCTTGAGCATGCATAAAGTTATATCCACCAGGACTAATAAGTAAATAAAGATGTTCAATATCCTCTAAAGATAATTTCTGGATCCTTTGGATATGATTGAGGGTGTCATGTATATAAAAAGAGTTTAAGAGCCTTATTTAACTTTGTACTATCTTTCGATGTAAATTACATGATGAACATTACTAAAACAATGTTGTGTTTAATACCAAAAACGAATACTATTTCTTACTGGGCTAAATGGGTATTTTGGGTGCAACAGCATGGAGGCCCAACTTGTATACAAATAAATTCATTAATCTTTCAATGTGTATGCCTTGAGACTACAAATTAAAAACTTGTTCTTGTATTATCTTCCCGACAAGTTATTCAACTTAAGGGCTTCCACACAAATGTTTTTTGTTGCTCAAATAATATATATAAATATTTTTGTTGAAGTCATAACCAATTATTTATAACCACCTTTTCTTCACCTAAAAGCTGAAACGTGCAGAAATACAAGCTTCATTTTCATTAAATTGAGAATCAGCACTATTCTGTTAGAACATGTCTCGTTAGTTTCATCCGCGGAGTGACAAGCAGGGATCCCGGAGTGATGCGGCAGTCTGAGCACAGCCGCGGAGGGAGACAGCATCCGAATAGCCAGCCTGCTGTCCAGGTCTACTTTCCACGGGCATCAGTTGGGAGAAGCCTGGTGAAGTATCACCAACAGCTGCATATGATTTTAACAATTTCTGCCCAAAAAATAAACCTTTTTAAACGAGGTGCAGCTTCGCCAAAACGTTGCCTTGCCACGTAACCATATGCCCTTTCCTCATTAAAAAAATGCTATTTTAGGATATTATGTTAGCAAGTTAATTGATTTGTGTCAAAAGAGCTATCAACTGAGGGGGAGACATTTTTTTCTCTCTTCTCATTATCAGACGACTGTTTCCCGCACTGTCTCCGCCTTAGAGCCAGCTATTCTGGTCGAAACCAACCCAGTACCGTTTCATCTTCTGAGGAGACCCGACTGACTGCACCGAAATGGGGGTAAGAGCCAAATCTCTTGACATTTTCTCCGCTGAATTGTCGGTTTTGTGAAAGTTAGCTGGACAGTATGAATGTGAAACCGTTAACGGCCAGCCAGTAAGTAATTTAAGGAGAGGGTTGGAGTGTATGGAGTGATATTAAATGACATGAACACGGTGGTAGGCTATATTTTGTTTGTTTAAGCTAACTCCATAACTGTTAACGATATGTCAAACTGGCATAACTGCATTATTGCATGAATTACACTTCTGTCAAATGGGTCTAATTGCTCTCTCGGGATGTCATTATAGGAGGTGTCCTTCATTAATGTCATTTTTCACATCACTTAAATGCGTTTCAATTCATAACAGTTAATGATATTATTGGGACTTAAAGGACTTTTTGCTGCCTGAAAACGGCATATTTTTTGGAGGAATATGCCGCCTCCTACGGAGTCCATTTGGTGAGACAGAACCGGTGCAGGGTGGTTACCCGTTACAGTAACGTTCCTCGGTATCTGTCTCATTACAGGTCTAGACCAAGTTACAATTATGTCACTGTTTCTACCACCCTGGGTTGACATTAGAGCGAAGTTTAAATATCCATTTCCCACCTTTAAATCTAATGTGTTCCTCAGGAGAGGGGTAGAAGTAAACGGTACTTTCGTAAGGCAGCGATACAATCCCACATGTCACTTTATTTGTAAACTGGCAGTGGGCTTTCTGGTTGTTTTGGCGCTGTAACGCAAAAGTAATGTAACGAGCAGGTGTAACAAGTCTGAAAACGGGACTAATGTATTAATGGCTTTGGCTTATAAACATTTGTCATGTTGTGGCGGAAAGATAGGCTGTGTTAACCTTTTCCAAAAAGCGAGATTACACCAAGCGAACATCTGGACCCGCTGCAGACTATTGAGGGAATTCACAGCTCCTGAATACACGATTAGCCAGACTGCAAAATGACGAGGGAGAGTCCGTTCAGAAATGAAATCGTTTGTGAATAATATGAACGTGAAAAGCTAAATTACTGTATGCGTGGGAATATGTATGCTCTGATGATAAGTGATTACCGAAACCCTGAATGCAGAAAGTAATGTAATTCCTCCAAGTCTGACTGCAGTAACTATTAATCCTGGTATTGTATTGGCAGTTATTCCTAGGGTAGGAGAGCTAATAGAAAGTATTGCATTTTAATAATATTTGGAAGATAATAAGTGGGTAGGGGGAATCAAAACCATGAAGGCTATGATTTATTTTCCCCCTTTTGTCGAATAACCATTAGGGGCATTTTGATAACATTCGTCTGGCTTCACTGTCATTCACCACTGGTTTAAAGGCAATTAAAGGTGTGGGTACCAAATGGGCACAGACAAGTGCGTCAACATGGTTCCTCAGTGTTGGTCAACCCCACCTCTCAGCCTCCTTTCCTAAAATATTCTGAGGGTGGGTCCCAAAGGAGATGCTCTCCACAAGGGGTAGACACAGCCAACATCCTCTTCTAGCCAATACATTTTTTTTTCAGTTGAATTATACTTAAAGTTCAGGGTAATCAACTGTTAAAAACATACTGTTCAAATTTCTTTTTTCAATAAATGGATGTTTTCAAAGTAAATGGATAATCGTTTTTAATAATCGTGATATCAATTATTGACCCAAATAATCGAGATTATGATTTTTGCCATAATCGAGCAGCCCTAATTCCTACTAAAAAAAATCCCTGTTAAATCCCTGCAGTGTTGTTACACTGAGGGGAAGACCATGCATAACACGTCAAAAAGAGCATGAGGGAAGTGTGTATGTGTATGTGTGTTTGTGTGTGTACATAGTAGTGAAGTGGAAACTACTATTTTCAGGATGTGATTTGCCATCAACAAGGGTGGAGTGAGAGGAGTAAAAAGTGTGTGGGGGAGACAGCAGGAAGCTTTCGTTGACAAGGCAACCGGTGCCATTTGAACCGTGCCAATCAATTGACAGGAGGCGACGATTGGGTAGGGTGGGTGAGAGAATGGATGGCAGAGATGAAACGAAGGTCAGCCAATGTAGGGAGCTCCAATTTAGAGATAAGCTCACCAAGATCCAGGGATTGACTGGAAGTAAGACAGAGAGAGAGAGAGGAAGTGATGCTTAGAGGTGAGTCACCTTGAGAAGGGTGACCACAAGGAGAATTGGAGGAGTGGAGGAATGCCACAATGCGGTGCTGCCCATGTGCACTGATGACACAGAAGAAGGAGCGATTTTGGAGATTCACAAAAAAAAATGGAGGCATGAACCCTGAGATATATAGATTTTATACAAGAAATAAGGATGAATGCATCTGCTGATATCCTGTAATGCCCTCGGTACAGAAGTCTCAGTAAAAGAGCCAAAGAGAATAGATATGATGGTATATGTGTGTGTATGTGTGATATCTATAGTACTTTCTCTTTTTCTGTCCCAATAATAATTGTTTTATAAAAATTGGTAGACAAAATAATTTGTCATTCTGTGTGACTGTACTCATGCACTTGAACTACATCGAAAGATGTAATATTGTTAATCATGCCTATTATATTTTCATTATCTATAATAAGAAACGAGGAGGCTACGCAGCCAGTACATTCACCAGTGAAAAATATGTCAAACTGCTGTGGCCATCCACAGAAAACCCAAATTAATGGATTTCATGATGTCTCATGAAATTGTTCCATTAGTGAAACCAGTTGTTGGTTTATTAGGATGTGGTTTTAGGCTATATACATTCCCTGTGGCAAATAATGAGCAAAAGGGATGGGAGTAGTAAGCTTTCACTTTTCTCAGTGCATTATAGATAATTATTATTATTTTATTAGCTGTTACCTCATTGGTTGGTTGTTTAATCATTTTTTTACTGAAGATATAGATGTTGTTTTCAATGCCACTGAATCAGTTGAAAGCTGTAACTGGACCATGGCAACACATATTAAATCACATATTCAAATGACTTTGCGCCGATTCCAACCATTAGTATTTCCAGGCAAGTCGGTACATAACGTTTTTGCAAGTTCAACAATGAATTAGAGAGCAAATAGACTAAAGATTAAACAGAGTCACAGGGACTTTTAGTATATGGTGCCCTCTTTTAACCACCTGTTAATGTGTGAGCAGGTTTGGAGAATTGTTAGGCTTCCGAGTACAAAGGCAGTTCAATGTGTATCACAAAACCATAATTAACATACAATCATGCGGGCGCAGCAAAAATAATCTTGATGCTACATGTATGTGATTCTAGTGAGTTGTGCTGCTTCTCGAAGATGAGGTATAGAAACAGGATTATTGGCACACTAAACTAAAAGAATGTAGTCCACTCACTCAGAAATGATTATAGATATCACCTTATAACTGCCACTGTAGTTTGAATGTACTGCATACAGTTCAATATTATCTTTGTAGTTGTAGTAATACCATGTACAGTATGCTCTCCTGGTCATGGACTCTGTTGCATAATTGTTTCAGTCAATATTTCATCAATACTGACTCAACCTCAGACTGTCCTTTACTAGTTTCCATCTGTGTGTAACACACGTGGATCCATACTACTGCACATCAGCCATCATGTTTTCCAATGCGTCTGATTATGTTTTTAATGTTTAGTACATTTCCTAAACTGTACTGGGAGGTCACTTTGACATCACTTCCTGTTGCAGGGTGACTTAAGAGTCAAGTGTAACTAGTAGTTTTCCATTCATTCTCCAACAGCACCCTACAGAAGTGACAGGGAGGTGGAGATTTTGAGAATACACTGCACACTGATCATTACAGCAGGTTTACATAACACACCTTCACATTAAAAACATCATTACAAAATTCCAATACCCCCCTCTTCCCCCTCCCCTCATGGTTGATTTCAATTATTAAGCGGATTGGATGTTGCTAGGGAACCTCACATCCCCCATCTTTCAAGCCATTGGAAGTAGACACTGTCAATCTGATTCTGTCAACAACTGCCATTTTCTATCCACTCTCAGCCACTGTGGGAGGTGACACACAAACTGGTGGGGAGCTGCACAAAGTCTCTTATTATTTCTTATAAATGTACTCAGGCAGCCATCTGAGCTTTCACTGTGAAAATATATATATATATATATAAATATATAACAAATCAAACTGATGGCTTATCTCGCTGTGGATTTGATCAGTCGCTGGAAACACATGCACTGAGTTAGAACATCATCATCTTGAGAGTGGCTCAGACTTTTTCCTCTAGATTAAACCTCGGTGCAGTAGATCAGAGTAGAGGACAGCAGACAAACAGATGGGCAGCCAGAGGGAGGAGAATGTAAACAAAGTGGGACGGAGAAGGGAGGGATAGTTGATGGAAGACCCCCCTTACTGCGAGTGCGTGTGTGTGCTTGCCAGTCCATCAGTGTTTTTCTAGGTCGGTCAGTCCACTGATCTGTGTGATAATCCATTTCTTTGTGTGTGGTTACAATGATCCACTGTGGCTCACCAGCAAAACATACACTAGCTAAATCTTCCAGTCCAGAAATCTGAGCTAAAATTGTGATATTTTGCTCACTGAACCATTAATAAATGTAGTTAGAAAACGGACTAAATACCAGATCCTGAACATACAGCATGATTCAGTGAGAGTGGGTCAACAAGGTCGACGGAGCTGCTGTTTACATTTGATTGGTTGTGAATAATCATGGGCAGAAACCAGCACTGCAAACAGCACAGTGCCACTTTGATGTTAAATAGCTGATAACATCACAAACTAAATTACAATTGTGGAAATCTTAGAGATGCCCCTTTTCCCTCTTATTAAGGCACATGCCTAGATCAACTAATGATAAGATTACCATCACACTCAATACTTGGTTAATTTTGAAAACTTTCATTTATTTATTCATGCTCCAACTAGGGTGCACCGATGAACATATTCCCGTTTGATGTCTGAGATTGAACCAGTAGTTTCAGTAGATGAAAACATGGCTTATCCAGCCTTCCCAAGACCTGTGGCGCTCTGTGCTGCAGGCCACGCTGAATACAGAACACCAGCACATA